CTGATCACCATGGATGCACTTGGGGCATCAGTCTTGGCTTAGGCAGTTTATCCTGAGAGCAGCAGCAGCAACAAGTTAATCCTGCTGGAGCAGGTCACTGTTTAAATGAGCCACAAGTAGCCCACTAATTCCACCCTTGAAGTACTTGCTTAGTCTTTCAGTCCTCCTGCCAAGTTAGTATTAGATTATGTCTAAACTGTTCTCTTCAAGTGAGCAGACTCGACAATCCCTTTGGTCTAACTTTTCTGTTTTCTCATTCTTCTGTGGATTTTAATGCAGAATTCCCAGCCTAGGTGCGGTGCTGTTGTTCATGCAATACTTCCTGAAGCTCTGCCCGAAGCCTGGATTACCAGGAGGTTAAGGATAGCAACTGGTTCCCTGAAGAGCTGGATGACTTTTGATGTTCACTAGTATATCTTTGTTAAACAAGATGATAATTAAAGATAAGAGTACAGCGCAGGCTAAATTTACCTTGCCTAATGAAGGCAGCAGGCAGCACAGTGGAGCCTGAAGTGTGGCAATCTGCCAGCTATGAAGTAATCGCTTGCTGAGCGTCGGGGCCCACGTTGTGGCTGGGTACCCGTTTGCTCAGGTACTCATCTTGGAGAATGCTAACAGCAGTCGTACGCCTGTGGCTGCCTTCTTCAGAGTAGTGGGCTAAAACTTACCAGTTTGAAGTCACCTCTTTTAATAACTTGCTATGGGTATCTAATTATCATCTTGTTAGACTTGAAAAAGACTGGATAAATCAAAGTGAGAAGGATATGGCCTGAATTCATGCAGAACGTGATCATAGAATTATAGAATCATAGAATATCCTGAGTTGGAAGGGACCCTTAAGGATCATCAAGTCCAACTCTTGACACCACACAGGTCTACCCAAGTTCAGACCATGTGACTAAGTGCACAGTCCAATCTCTTCTTAAATTCAGTCAGGCTCGGTGCAGTGACCACTTCCCTGGGGAGCCTGTTCCAGTGTGCAACCACTCTCTCTGTGAAGAACCCCTTCCTGATGTCCAGCCTAAACTTCCCCTGCCTCAGCTTAACCCCGTTCCCGCGGGTCCTGTCGCTGGTGTTAATGGAGAAAAGGTCTCCTGCCTCTCGACACCCCCTTACGAGGAAGTTGTAGACTAGATCGTGTGCTCCAACTTAACTGCTGCTGTACCCATCAGTTTATACACATGATGTTACCTTTGAGAAGTCCCTGTAAGTTGAGTAGCTTGGCTATAGCATACTGTGTCGGAATACAGCTCAGGTAATTTCTTGAAATGGGAAGCTGCTTAACAGACTGGAAATGAGACAGGTGGAGCAATTGCTCTTGCAAGCTTTGAAATGCAAGCTTCTAGTTCTGCAGTACAGAACTTCTTCAGCTGTTGTCAGCAGTGGTTTTATCTTCATTTTTGACCATCCCTAAGGACGCTGAAGTATTTCTAGGCATGGCAAAAGTAAATAATGCAGAAATTCTTTACTGTTACTGTGCCTGAGTAACGTGAGGAAAACTTGTTGGTTAAACATGTTTTGTTTAATGGAGAGGGAAGATCTAGCTTCCTTCATGGGGAAAGGAAGATCTAGATAAAATTGATGCTAGTTTTTTGTCGTTGTTGTTTTCTTTTTTATTCTTTTCTTTATACGTATAACAAACTGAAGCTACCTGCCACTATGAGGTTTTATTTTGCTTTGTCATCCTCTTATATGAACAGTAAGTTAAGCTTGAATAAGATTACTGTGCAGTGTAACTGCTGGAGGCTTCAGGAAGTGCTGTGCTTGTGAGTTGTTGTGTTTTTTTTTTGTTTGTTTGTTTTGTTTTTTTGTTAAGGTATTTCAGCTTAATTTTAACTTAAATGTTGACGTTGAGAGGATCGAGAGGATCTTTTGCTTGACTTTGGAATGGCTGACAATGAAATTCATTCATTAGCTTAAAAGTTATTTACACCATTTTAGTTGCACTATTAAGTGTAAAGTGAACTTTGGGAGATTAAAAAAAATATTTTTTTCTTTTACTCTTGTTCTTCAGCTAACAGCAGCTTTGTTGATCTTAATAATCCCAAAGGTGACTTTCTGAGTAGCTGTAAAAGTAGCAGCTTTAATGGAAGAAGCAGTTAGTGAGCCTGCTTGCTGCACTCTGTAACAGTTCACTCTAGACAAGCTTCCAACAGCCTGCTAAATGAAACTCGGAAGAGATGAAGTAATTTCTTTACTTCCAGATGCTTTATGGCTGAAATCAATGCGGTAAGGAGGCACCTTAGGACTTAATCATCCAAGCTGGGGCTCCAGTATGGGGAGTTAAGTTTTTATCACCAGCTGGTTGCTATGGTATTGGTGTTTTGTCAAGGTCTAGATGAGATTACATAGCGCATTCAAAATAGAACGGCCTGTAAGAATTACTAAAAACAGGCTGTTTTTCTGTTCACGTGCTATGCAAGTTCTTGGTTTCCAATGAAACCAAAACTTCAGACCTGAGGTTGTTGTTCGGTGTGGGTCTTCCTGACAGCTCACCGTTGCAGCTGTGCGTGGGGGATTTTGTTTATTCTTCTGCTGAGGCTGCAATCTGCTTCTACCAAAGGGTGCTGACTTCACAGATTCCTAAAGTATTTTAGTCTAGCTTCCCTCACTACTCTATTGCTTGCTTAGGACACAAAGAAAACGGTTTCTAGCAGTAACTGATAACGTGTGAGTGTAATGGATAGAGAGGTGTTTTGTTTGTTTGTTTGTTTGTTTTGTTTTTGTTTTTAAAGCCATGATTTTTTTGGGGGTTTAAAAAAGCTGTATGAGACTGAAGTACTTGTCATGTTTCTTCCTCCCCATTCTAAATTTCAGTGATTATTGCCTCACTTCCTGAGGTTAGAGAAACAATTGCTAATAATTCGCAGTAAATATTGCAGTGTTTTACCTGCAGACAGAGCCTAAAGACACAGCAAGGACCTAGCTTCCGAATTTAGGTAATTAAATATTCTACTCAAGTTCACCAACTTGAATATATCCCAGACTGAGGTCAGTGTTCTCTGACCAGTTTATCTAACTGAAGTACACGGTCTCTGGACTCAATGGTAACATTTTAAAATGAAATATGCCTTTTGCTTGGTAAAGGGGGGAAAGAAATGGGTAGCTTTAGAAATTAAAACATTACGCTCTTTATTATTATTATTATACTGGAACAGATTAATTGCTGAAAATAACGGAAGTATTTTCATGTTTGAAAAAGTGCTGATTGAAGGTAGCTTAGGAAACTTGGAATGCTTTTTATTTACATGAACACTTGTATCCCTTTGGCATATGTTACAAAAGACTTGCTTCTGTCTGGTAGTGAATTCCTAATGCTGACAAGTATCTTAGACATGAACACCTGGTTATCTCTGGCATGTGCACAGGACAAATAATCTAATCCAATTAAGACAAATCTAAAATCTGTGGTAGAAAACACTTTAAGCTTTAGATTCTATCAGTTGGCGTCCATTTATGCAGAGAGTGTTGTTACAGCTTTAAAACCAGCTTATTTTAGGTAGGCCATGTTTAATTTGAAGAAAACTGTTGCATGAAATATTGGTGAAAACTGGTTAAATTCCTGATCCAAACAGAGGCATCCTGCTGCCAGACCATCTTTGGAATGGGGAAGGGATGAGAAAGTCATTGGGTGGCACGGGAAGTTTGGACACTCAAATGTAGTACGATGTTTAAATGCCGGGAGTTGTTCTGCTTATGTGGCAGAAAGGGATGAGCCTGGAGGTGTTGTGGAGTGCTGGTCCTGATCTGCTCTTCAAGCCTTGTCCTGTACCCTCCCTGCATGGACATGGCTGTGGTTGTGATCAGAGAGGTTGTGAGGAAAGGGATTTGTCACAGTGGGGCATCTGATTGCCCCTGCAGATCAAAGTGGATCACTTTCATGCGGGGACAGGAACTTAGGTACGCAACCTTGTAGCCCAATACGCTTGTTAGAGAGTAGAGGCAGCTGCCAGTTCTGAGTTGCTGGAATGGGCTTCATTTGTTTCCCTCAAGCTTCAAGCAATTGTATATGATACCTGAGTTGGATGCTTTATCCTACCATGCTCACTTTGATAGGGGATAACAGACCCAGACCATTGTAGAATCTGTCCCTGAAAGACAAAATGCTAACAAATAATGAACTTGTTTGGTTCGGACAATTTAAGTATTACCTGGACAAGCTTGCATCAACAGAATTGAAGCTGCAGCTTATTTCTGTGGTTATTAAACTTGGCATGGTAAAACCTAATACCTGTCCTTACAACCAGAAGCTGCTATGGAATATAAATTGTTAAGGAGGCTAAGGTGGTAAAGACATCTAAGAAAATGGGAGTTGTAAATACTTCTGTTTTCTAAGGTGACTTTGCTGGGATATATCAAAAGTCTAGTAAACTTTAAGCATGTATCCCTTCTGTCTGAGGTCTTTCAGTCTTTGTGGTGCTCATAGTTTTATTATTGTTCCTTTTTAATGCCCATTAAGAATGTAAAGGTATTCTTTTGAAAGCTGCTTGAATGACTATTCAATAGAGAAACAGTAAATTTGCTCCTTAAGCTGAGGAGCAACAGAAGTTGTTTAGGAAGATTCGTTTCTCTTTCATACCATTCTGCGATTCTATGATTCTTTCTTTAAGAGCACTGTCAACCTAGTAATCAAATCAGAAGTCATTCTGTCTTCTCTTCCTGTTTTACTCCAAAGAATACAGGAATTGAGGTGTTTGTGCAAGTCAGTAATAAAGGCATCTCAGATTAGACATGAAAGCCCTATATAGTTCAAGTCTGCAAGTACAACTTTTTGAAATGTAGAGGTGTTGTTAGCTACTCAGATTCCCCAATAAAGCAATGCTGAAGTTAACTCTGATGTTTCCCTTCATCTATTCCAAATGCTGCTGTGGGCCGGGGGGGGAGAGCAGTAATTCCTCCTGATGTTTGTATGTTCATGCAATGTAGTTGGGTGTAAAGAAGCTTGGGGTTGGCAGAGGGCTGTAGACACTGTATCCTCATATATGTTCTTTTGATTGCAGGCAAAAGCAAAGAAGCAGAGATAAAGAGAATAAATAAAGAACTAGCAAACATTCGGTCAAAATTTAAAGGTAAGTGACTTGACTGTTTTAAACTATAGTGTTTGCTTTCCTCATGGCATTTTTGTATGGGTTTTTGTTTGCTTTTATACGTTCAGATTTTCTGTCAGCTGTGGACATAAGCAAAATGCTAGCACAGACTGTTACAATAGCTACTGAAGGTGTTCTCTTAAGCACAGAGCTTCTTTGCAGTCCTGTGACTCAGCCATAAGGAAAGAAAACTCCCTCCTCTATCAAAGAGCTGAGATAGTGTTCACAAACTTTCTAATACTTTTCCGCCCAACCATGTGACTACTTAACCTTTTTTTTTTCCAGGAGGCCACAAACTAGTTTGAGAAAACATGAGTGGGTGTAATTATTTTTACTAAAACAGTACATGTTCAACCATCCTCCCACTCCCAACCACTTAGGGAAGTAATGTATTAAATTGTCTTATGGAAAACTTAAGATAAAAATACGTAGTTGATAAGCCATATGTCTTGACCTCTCCTATAAGTAACAGCAGTAAAGGTTATTCATATGAAACAAAATACATGCAATGACTAATTCTATACTCGTAAATTCCAAGAGGAAACAATTCACTTCTTAAGCAATGCATAGTAATACTCATGCTATAAGTGTGTTCAAGTTTTGTATGTGGCCTCAAATTTTAAAGATTTTGAAGGGTAATTGAGATGTTTTTAAATGAAATTCCAGCAGACGTGGCTATGGTAAACATTCTGTTTAAATAGATATGGGGCTGTGTGTGCACCTAGATAAGGCATTGCAGCATGGAGTTCATATATGTGGCTTCAGAACTTGCTGATTTTGGATTAAGCCTTTTTTACCTTCATTTCTCTATTCTGACTTTGACTAATGTTTCTATTTGGTATGCTTTTTGCACTACCAAAGTCTGAAGTAGCTTTCCTGAACTTCATATAAATCTGTTGATTTTTTTTTTTAAGTGTTGCATCTCATAAGGAAATATGGCAAAGTGAAATGAATTGACAGATGAAGTAACATGAAACTTCTGTGGTTAATTTATTAAACATGTACTGTAACTTCTTAACCTGTTTTGAGTTAAATTCAGCATCTTTATCTGCAAGACATACTAACTGTGTCTAGTATAGATATTGCTTGGAGATTAAACTGCCTTATTAAAATGCCACCATTTTATGCTTTTACTTGGAGATGAGATCATGCAGTTGGAACTAACAAAAATGGCTGTTAATCTTGTAAACAAGTGTCTAGTAGACCCTTGAGCTATGTACTGGTTGCTCAGTGTGTGCGAAGGCGATGTCTACTGGTCACTGACTGGAGAATGGACACAAGTTTTATTCTTGGATTAAATGATGGGGAAAAACAAGCTCTAGAATAAACTACACAAAGCCTGTTACTTCTGCCAAAAATCAGTCCAACATCAGTGTTAGATGCTTTGCTGTGAAAAGGAAGTGAAAAATAACGGCATACGAGGGTGAATATGAGAACCTTCCTCTTTTCCCTTGGAAAGTCATTGTATTTACTCAGTTACCCTATGACAGAGGTTATTATATAAATGCGTGTGTGTATGTATCTGCATGTATATGTATTTTTTTGTGAATTGTCACGTACTGTTGACGTGCTTGATGGGAGGGGAGAGTGAAAACAACATTGAAACTTAAGCTTGTGTCATTTAAAGATGTTTGCTGAGAGGCAAAAATTCCTTAAGGGAGTCCCAGCCAAGTCCTGTTTTGGATGTGCCTTGCAGTGCACATGTGAAGGTACTAACTTTTGTTCTATCAGAGCACCACATTCTACATCCCTAACAAGAGTGAATATGAATCTGAGAATTGTATTGATTCTGTTCCAACTTTTCCTGAACTGGACTAAAATTGGATTAATTTAAATGGTCTTGCACGCAGCAGAGATGATGAAGACCCCTGAAAGTGATGTACGCCAGTTCTTGTTTTGGCTTAGTGTTTCCCACAGACTTACAGGGTATAGTTTTCTTACTTCCGTATTGTTTTTGGAAAGCAACTCAATTGGTAATATAGTCAGCTGGTTATCTACTCACTGGAAGCTCTAGATTTTTAACTGGACTCACCTCAGGGCCTAGGTGTTCTAATGTTTCTTGAAATTTTTCTACCATCTTATCAGGAAAGCTTTACTTAAAACCTCCTCTGATTTCACTCTGGGTTCTTCTAATATCATGGCAGAGGCAAACAAACAAACAAAAAACACCACAAAATGAACAAAAAAAAGAATGCTACAGCCTTTCCTTTTACATAGATTTGTTCACTTCCAATAAAAGAATTGGTGTTATTAATAAGGGGAAAATCTATGTATTTCAGCTTGTATTGTCTGAGAACTGCTTTGTGTGGAGAATACTATGTTTTCCAAAGTAGAAGAGCCTATTATGCCTGAAATTGACAGGCATAATTGGTCTATGTGCTAGAGATGTCTTACCTGACTCCTACTGGTTGAGAAAAAGTGTTCTGCTGTTGATGACTTGGGTGAATTACTGCTTTGCTGTTTTTCTGTTCTACTTGCTCTGTGAGCCCTCTTGACATTTGTACATTTGTATGTCAAGGCCTAGCACGCTGAGCCTTTGGTCGCTCAACTGTGGAACATAGCTCATAGGTCAGTAAGTATACATACAAACTAAATACAAATAATACCTCCTTTATTGCTAGAGCTTATGCTCAAGAGGGCCACTTCTGTCTGTACATGAGGCAGGCTCTTCTTATGGAAGCCTTGAATTCACCTAGATAGAAGACAGGTGAATTAGTTGTACCTGGCTTTAGAAGTTTAGTCAAGAAGAGAACAGATTTTTAGACTCTCTATGAAGGTGCCTTTTGCCCCTCTGCTAACCAAGTCACCATAGAACAGTATTCGTATTTCATTTTTCACCTTGAGTTGTAATGGAAATTTAGATGAGTTTATTCTAAGAGCATTAACTTCTAGATCTTTGCAGACAGACTACAGAAATCCCTCAGCTGAAAGATTAATAGACAAAAAGTCGGTGTCAGAGAGACTGCTCCCAGTCACAGTTGGGAAGTCCTGACAAGAGTAGCATAAACTGGCAGGGACAAGCCAATTCCAATGCAACATTCAGTCTTAATGTGGAATGTGCAAAATTGAGAGGTTATATTTTTTCCCTCTGACAACTACAGGTCACAGAACCATTAAGATTGGAAAAAACCTCCAAGATCATCCAGCCCAACCGTCCCCCTACCACCAATATTAATGACCTGTATCTGCTTTGCAGCTCTTGCTGACAGAACAAAGCCATCCTTTCTCATATTAGAGGCACATAAAAACCTGAGGAAAGCTTATGTGACTCTGATAACAAATTATGTACTATTCAGGAAGAATTTCATAGTTAAAATTTACAAGTTAGATGATAGTCATAAGTGCAAAGAGACGTTCTCCCCATCTCAAACAGCTTCACTAGTCAACTTGCCTAATAATGGAGCAAATAATGGCTTAATTCCCAGCTATAGTTTTGTTGTGCTACTGACTTCTGTTCACATGCCTTTTCTTTCCAAATCTATAATATACTGTAGTTTTTAGTCAGGCTGACTTGGTATTCTTCTGGAACATCCCTACCAACCTGTTGTGGTTGGCCTGAATTGACTAAAAGAGTCAAACAGATTCCAAACTTCCCTGCCATTTCTGCAAAGCTGCTCTGCTGGAAGCTCTGAGCTATCTCTGAGCTTCTTTACTTGAGACTTCAGTACCAATTCTCACCATTTCTGAAGGTTTTTTCTGTATCTAAATATTTTTACTTAATATTTAGACAGGACAGATCATCATGCAGCCTTTCCTATATTAATTTTGCCTATGTTATTCTGTCATCATGAGGTTAATGCCTGACTGGAAACTTTGCTGCAGTCACATTAATGTAGAAATTCAGTGCTTTCAGCAACGTAACTTGAAGCTACAGTACCTGTTGGTTTTTTTTTTTCTAATTTGTTTTGACTGATGGGCAAACTTCAGTTTGGTTGCAAAACTTTGTCAATTTTTCACTAATGAAAGTAGAAGCTCTCACCAGACCTTCTTTAGTTTGCAGTGAGCAAAAACTTCAAAAGGTGTTTTTGTTTTGTTTTGTTTTGTTTTGTTTTTTTTAAAAAAAAAGAAACAAAGTGTGAATGAACAGGTATTCAGAGGTCGCTAGTGTAGCCTCTAGTACAAGTCTGCCTAAAGTGATAGAGCTTGTCCTCACTGCTCCCTTCTGCTCCTTTCTTCCCTCCTGATGGAGGAAAGTAGCAATGTAAGCCACTGTATAACTAACTGTAAGAAAACTTGGCAGTAACGAAGCTCTTAGTTGACTAAAACAGCATTCTCTGGTTGATATAAGTAGTTCTTCTGCTATGTTGTATTGCTGTAGGGTAAAGCTGCTGATGGCACAGTTCATGAAGACCTGTGAAATTTTGTTCCTCAGTTTTGCAAGGTATTTCATGGCTTAAGTACCAAAATATTCAAACGTACAGACACAGGAAATTCTTCTCTAGTTAACTGATGCAGGGGAGAAATGACCATAGAAGCTTCCAGCTGTGTAGAACTGTCAATCAGGCAATGATCAGAGGCTCAAGGTGTTGTGAGTAAAGCAGTGTAGTAACTTCAGCCTGTTTACCTTGCGCATAACATCCTCTAAGCACAATTTGAACAGTTCTGAATAAATAACAGTATGCGTTCAATGAGCAATGTGAGTGAAATGTGACTCAACTTTCCCCTCATGTATACTTCTTTACTTTGTGTGGATTTTAGGTGAAAAATATCATTCAGCTGAAGACAATGACTTGACATACTCAGAAGAAAAAACAGAAACAAAAGTCAAAATGTGGTTGAAGCCAGTTTGGACTGCTTGTTGTGTAACCGTTTGTGTCCTTGAGGGTGCGAGGAGGTGATAGCTGTGTATCTTTCTGCTGCAGGATTTCTACGGGGGCTCTGAGTTGCATGGTTCTCCCTTGCAGACTATAAAAATAACCAGACCTTCATAATGCTTTTTTTTCCCCCTCAGTTTAAATAAGATGATTCAATTTAACCCAATT